GATATCATCTGAAACTTCAGTGAGTCCTAATCTTTTTGCTGGTGGAGTCTTGCCTCAGTGTTGACGGCTGCTGGCTGATCAGGGTGGTGGCTGCTGAAGGTTGGGGTGGCTCTGGCAATTTCTTAAAATAAGACACCAGTGAAGTTTGCTGCATCAACTGACTCTTCCTTGAACTTGAACACTTAGAGGCCATTTGGGGTTATTAATTGGCCTAATTTCAATATTGTTGTATCTCAGGGAATAGAAAGGCCAGAGGAGAGGGAGAGAGATGAAGGAACAGCTAGTCAGTGGAGCAGGCAGAACATCCACAACATTTGTCGATTAAGTTCTCTGTCCTATATGGTCACTGTTTGTGGTGCCCCAAAACAGTTTTAATAGCAACATCAAAGATCACAGATTACAGATGATCATAGCAGATATGACAATAATGCAAAAGTCTGAAATATTGCAAGAATTGCCAAAATGTGACACAGACACATGATGTGAGCACATGCTGTTGGAAAAATAGCACTGATAGACTTGCTCAATACAGGGTTGCCACAAAACTTCAATTTGTTAAAAAAAAAGAATGAAAACTGCAATCTGCAAAGTACAATAAAGCAAAGCACAATAAAATAGGGTATGCCTGTACTTTTTATATGAAATTCATTCCTCAGTTTAGGAGAACCATCTCAACAATTGGATCTTGAACAACAGGTATCACCAAATGGTTAGCACGTGGGTGTTACACAACACATAAGATCAAATAAAGGGATTCTGACATCTGTTCAGGCAGAGATCACTGCATGTCTGAAACCATGAAAGGCCTTTTATCCAACTTGTCTTTATATAAATGGACTCCTCAGTAAAACTCCTGTCGGTTATATCTGGGTTAGAGGGGAGGAGGAAGAGAGAGATAATTAGTTTAGTTGTAAATCCACTGAGTTGTTGCACAAATAAACTTGGGTAAGGAGTCAAAAGAGTGTTTAGGACCCTGAGATCAGGAACCAAAGACTGACTAAGATAAACCATTTCTCAGGAGCTTGGCTGAACTTTCTATCACCAAGCTGCTAGGAATTCCAATCTAGGTTCCACATTGCCTTGCTATTTTATACAACTCACAGGGCATGACCAAATTTCCTCAGTCAATAGAATACACATCCTGTGCAGCATCACTACCTTTCATCCAATGGCTTTCAAGGACTTCTAAATTAATCAAAGACTTTCCCCACTAAGTTTAAAGCCAATGACTGATTAAACGATTCAATAGAGATGCATATTGAGTTCACACCTCTGATCCATTGATTGTCTCACTTGACATAGGTATCACGGCATCTAGCCACTTTAAGTGGGGAGGGGTAATACATTGATTGACTCAGTCAACTCCTACCTTTGTATGCACTTATCAAGTGTCATGGTTATTTGAGTATTGTGTCTTAGTTCCATACTAGTTCCATAAGAGCAAGAACCATGTGTTAAATTCAAGTCAATAAACATCAACTAATCATTTAGTATATGCCAGGCACCGTGCTAGGTGCTGGGGGTACAAAGATTAAAAAAAATGTATCTAGTCCTTGATCTTAGGGAGTTTCTCTTCCACTTGGAAGGGGAAGGGCATGCAGATATGTCATATACATAGATAAGAGTATCATATGGGCAGAGAAGAAAGATAAAATCCTCTAGGAAAATCAAAGGAAAAGAATACTTTTAGCTGCAGAGAATTGGGACAGACATCATGGAGAAGCTGGAGTCTGAGCTCAACCGTGAGAAAGGAAAAGCATTTCAACACAGGGAAACTAGGAGGGAAGGTATTCCAGGCACTTTACACATATTAAATGATTTTACTCTCATACTTCGAAATTTCTCTACTTTCCAAATCCCTCCCTCAGCACAGACCACAGAGCCTTCACTCTCCTGTGATGAATTGAATCAATATTGCCCAGAGTTCGTGTTAAGCTGTTGTGATGGCAAAGAGGGGGCGGAGTTGACCCCATGCTGCCACCTTCTGGCCACTGACCAGATTGCACCTACTTCATAGGAAAGGAGCTCTGGGCTTTCCAGACTCAGGATTCCAACAAATTGCCAGGGACGGAGGCAGTGTCCTCAGAGTTGTCCAACTCTTGGTCTGCAGGATTCTTTGTCAGGGACATACACAAAGCCACCAGTCATTGAAAGGGGGGGGCACAGTGTGAGCCACTGTGCAAGGTTAAGCTGACCAGGACAGTGAGTGGACAGCGTGGCTGGTTCTGACCACATTTGGGATAGTACCCATTAGGGGCAGGGATTGAGGCCACAATGGCATCGATTAATCAGCTGGGAGGATTAGGAAAGGCTTCCTGGTAGAGGTGGTACCTGAGCTAGACCTTGAAGGAAGAGTAACATTTCAATAGATGGAAATAAGGAGGGAGAGAATTACAGATATGGGGCAGGGACAGCATGGATGCATGTATCCTCTCCAGGCAGAGGTCACAGAATCACAGAATTTCTGAACTGGAAGCCTTCTTGAAAATAATTCAATCCAACTAATACCAGTGCAATAGTGTTTACCTCGGGCCCCTCTGAAGGCCAAGTATGTTACATTTTCCCCCTCCCCCAGTGTTCTCTGGTACTCATAAGGACTGCCATTGGCTCAAGCCCCCATTGATTGGGATCCCCCAATCTTAGGGGTCCCTAGCACCACAGTTCCATTTAGCCACTTAATCAGATTCACTTTCACAAAGGCATGCCATGAACAACCCTACAAACATTGGAGAGAAACATACTCCCCCTATAACCCCTGTGTGTGTATGTGTGTGTGAGTATATGTGTGGTGGGGGGTGGTGTCCCCACTCCCTGCTCCTAGAACCAAAGAAAACAAATGAAACAAAAAACTCCAAGCATTTTTCTTGGGGCCAAAACACCTAAGGGGAAGGAGAGGGTAGACTTCTCCCCCCAGTCTCCACCCCCACCCATTCAGCTTATTGTGTAGTACCTACAATGTGGGTGAACAAGACCTTTACCCCTGAATGCCACCGAACAAGGAGAGAGAGCACTCATTGCATCTCTGTAAGGTAGATTTAAAGACAGCCAGTTCCAGATATGAAACCAATGGAAAGAGGTTTCTCCCACCCACCTGATAGAGGGACATATGATGATATCTTCTCCCAGAAGCAGGTGCTTAGCATTTCTCACATGGATGGCTCCATTTTGGCTGATCTGGGCATGCCTCAAAGCCCAGTTATACCAGAAAAGACTCCCTACTAAAATATACAACAATAGTAATCCATTCTGGTTTGAAACCCTCCAATGAAGGGGAAACTAGACCCTCCAAGACACCTCATTCTACTTCTGCATAGCTTTAAATATGAGGAAGTTTCCCCTGATATTAGACCTAAATTTGCCTCTCCAAGTAATTCTGAGAAGCTGACAAAAATTTCACTCAGAGCTCTGGCAAAAACTTGGGCATGGCCATAGTCATAGAATTCAGATCCAAAAGGGGCCTTAGAGATCATTGAGTGCTATTACATCTAGCCGTGTTATAAATAGAGAAACTGAGGCCCAACCAATCAGTCATTTCATAAGCATTTTTTAAGTGTCTGGTCTGTCCCAGGCACTATGCTAGGTGCTAGGGTGCCATATGAATACAAAAATAAAAAAAAAGTCCCTGCCTTCCAAATGGACTGACCCTTGGGCCCCCATCTGGAGCTGTTCCTCCTCCTCCTCCATGATCCCTCTACCCTGGAGACTTTTCCCTTTCAGATCAAATCCATGAGTCCTTCTATCGAGGGGCCAAGCAATAGGACTATGAGCATTCCCTGGAGGAAGAAGAGGATAGGGCCTGATGGCTAAGAACAGGGAATAGGTTGGCCTGACGGCAAGGCTGATACACACAATAGACCAAGGCCCGGCAAGGGGACAGAGAAAGTCCCTGAGCCTGAGAGACATGACACCTGGCTTCTACTCCCAGCTTAGTGTCACTAGCTGTGTGACTTTGGACAAATAAGAAGGGAAGCATTTCTTAAGCTCAGGCACCATGCTAGGCACTTTACAAATATTATCTTAATTGATCTTCACCACAATCCTTGGAGGGAGGTACTCCATTTTACAGTTGAGGAAACTGAGGCGGATAAAGGTTGAGTGACTTGCCCAGGGTCATACAACTAATAAGCAGTTGAGGCTGGGTTTGAATTCAGGTCTTCCTGACTCCAGGTCCCTCTTATCCCCTGGGCTACCTGGCTGCTTCTTCTCTTTCCTTCTCTGAGTCTCAGATTTTTCAAGTTAAAAATCTCAGCAAAGACAGATTATAAAAGGATAGAATTTTTGTTGCCACCTCATGGCAAACTCGAAGTCTGAGTTGGTGTCCCAACCACACCTACTATTTATTACTCAGGTTTCAGATCCTGGAATCACAGAATTTCCGAGGCAAAGTAGACTTAGGAAGTCATTTAGACCAACCATTGCAGATACTTGAAAAGAGTTCCCACTAAAACAAGCCCAGTGGTCTTCCAGGCTGGCCTGAAGCCCTCCAAGGAAAGGGGAATCCACTACTTCCAAGACACCTCATTCCACTTTTGGATAGATTTAAACATTAGGAAGTTTCTCCTTACATCAGGCCTAACTTTGCCCCTAAAAAATTGCCACTCATTGATTTTAAGAACTCGACCAGCCATCCTGTGAGACTGGCCAAAATTTCCCTCTAACTCCTAGCCCAGAGCTGGGCCATGGCCTTAGTCATGGGATTCAGAACTGGCAGTGAGTGGTCTTAGAGAGCAACTTGTGATTTTTACATCTAATCATGGTGTATGTGGGGAAACTGAGATCCAAAAAGTGAAAAGGACTTGTCCAAGGTGGAATACTTAGCAAGAAGTTGAGGCAGGATTAGAACCTGGTCCCTTTGGTTTCAAATCCAGTGCTCTTGACCCTATGCCACCCACTTACCTCCTGGCAGGAGGTTTGTCCCAGGGCCAGTCTTCCTTAAATAGAATGTAAATGTTGGTTGAGGATCAACTGAATGTGAATAAATAAAAGTTCATTGCTTTGGCTTGGAGTAGAGTGACCATGTTTATTTATTTAACTGGCCTCTGGATTGATTGACAATGGAGGCCACCAGGGAGCTGGGCCATCCTGGTCTAGGAGAGATCTTCTGCCCTGGAGACATCCTTGGCATCCTGGCTTTCCTTCCGATTGTGATTGTGTTCCTTCTCCAAGGGCTCACACTTATCCTGCGGGTGGGATAGGTAGGAAAGTGAGGTTAGGAGCCATGCCCTGGGAAATGACAGCACCAGCCAGACCAGTGTGAAGGCTGCTGGTCAGGCCCAAGGGAGGGCAGGGTCACTGGCTCCATCCAGTCCAGGCTCCCTAGGGGCATCAGTCTCTTGGCCAGTAAAGATGGCCCAAATACCATGTTCTTTTCAGCCTCCTGCATTTTGAGGGGTTTGCAGCTCAGTCCCCTGTCCCCGGTTACTGCAGGACGCCTCCGCCTGGCTGGTCCACTGGTCTCTCATAGTGGGCCTCTAGGACAGTCAGCTCCTCTTCCTGCCTCACCTCCTCCAGGCACCAAGATCTGCCAATTCAACCTCAGCAGAATCTCTCTCGTCTGTTCCATCCTCTTCACCATTTCCATTCTCTCCACCCTTGCCCAGGCCTCACTGTCACAGCCTCCAATTGGTTTCCCTGCCTCCAATTTCTCCCCTTTCCAATCCATTCTCCACACAGCCACCTAAGTGATTTTCTTAAAATCTAGGTATAACAACATCATCCTCCCCTATTCAACAAACTCCAGAGGCTCCCTAGTACCTCTAGGATCAAATTTGGACTCTTCTTTTGGGCATTTAAAGCTCTTTAAAACCTGGTTCCATTCTGCTTTCCTGATCCTCTTCAACATTATTCCCCCCTACAACTCTATAGTCCTACACTCACCTGTTTTCTGTTCCTCACACACAACATCTCATCCATCCCCTCTGTCTTTGCCCTGGCTGTACCCCATGACCAAAATGCTCTTCCCCTCTTGGATCTTTTTCAAGACTCAGTTCAAGTGCCTCCTTCTTCATGAGACCTCTCCTGGTCCCCAGAGGGTTGAGTACCCTCCCCTCTAAGGTTACCCTGTGTCTGTTCTACATGTGTTTGGCATATTGGTGCGTGTGGTATCCTGCTTTTGAATGTAAGCTTTGTGAGGGCAAGGACTGTTGTACTTTTTCCTCAGCATGTAATGAGTGCTTAATTAATGCTCTTTTGCTTGCTTGTTTGATTGCCCTCCAGCCCATACCAGAATAGGTTGCCAGACCTAGAGATCCGAAGCATTATGTCACTGACCCTGCTTAAAGCCTTTGGAGGTTCCTCTGGCCTCCTTTGCTTGGCCTCTATGCTATCCTCTGAGCTTTACCTTGCTCCAATCTGTGTATAGAAGCTCCTCCTCTTGGAAGCCCAGGCACTTGGCAATCTCCTGGAACTCTTTCAGCTGCTCCTCAGAGGCCTTCTGGGTTCGAACTTTGGGAAGGAGAATGAGGAGAGTCAAAAACAGGCAAAAAGCTATGGTGGAGGAGATGACAGTGGCCAGTTACAGCACAGTATTGTATTGGGAGGGTAGAGGTGGGGCATCATCCTCAGACTGGAGGGGACCCTATGGCAGGTGACTGAATCAATCAAATTTGGAAAGGGATAGAGGGTCTGGTGCATGGGAAGATCTAGAGACAGGGAGGGTTAGAATTTGGGGCCCAATGGGGGGAGACCCCATGAGGAGAGTGGATAGTAGGTTGGGTGTCTGGATAATCATGGAATAAGCATAGGATTCAGAGCCATAAGACACCCTTGAGACTGTCTAGCCTGGTTGCTTGCTATGATGGAGAAGGAAACTACACATGTATTAAGTAGCAGAGCTTATACCAGAACCTCCATCTCTTGCCATCTGCTTTCACCTGGGTTCTGTGGAGGAAACATACCAGAAAGAGACACTCCTCCAAAGACTTTGTCATTTGGAAAGTAGAGAATCAAAAAAGCATTCGGGTCCTGGGTCAGCGCAATGTGGCCAACATGTTGCTGCTGATCTGACTCTGGTGGAAGAAATGAAATGTCCACTGAGCACGTCTAGTCCTGCCCTTTAGGCTAAGCAGAAACAGCATCTTGCCTTCCCACCATCTCTTCCCCAGCCCAAGAACCTCCTACGGTATCTTACCAATCTTTAAAATGGTTCCTTCGGTTCTGTTGAAGAAGATCTCACCTTCCTGATACACACACTTGTCTCCACTAAAACAAGAGATGTTCCATATAATGTCATCCAATGAGAAGGGCTTCAGAGTCATAGAAGTCAAGCCCTCCATAAAGCATGAGAGAGTCATGAGCAGAGGGACAAATAGCTAGCTAGTGAGAGAATCTCAGGCTGGGACCTGGGTCTCTTTCCTCCCAGTTGTGAGAAATGAATATTTCTCTCTTGTACTTAATAACTAATTATTGTATTAGGACCAAGGTTTTCCACTTTTCTACTCCCTCATCCAGAAACCGACCAGTGTGGGAAATCTCTCTTGAGATTTACCCAGGCCAAGATCTAATTAGAGAGCATTAGAAATTCTAAGTTTGGACTAATGGGTGTATTCTTGCTCATTTTGTCTGGAGAAAGGTTGATTCTCCCTATTATCAAGACATGTGGAAATTGACATCTCTCTGACCAAGATTTGAGATCCTAAGTCACATATCCCAAGACCTTCATTTTAATATAGCTCACAACTCCCATTGTGTTAATCAATCTGAGTTGATTTCTATCCCTCAGGAATACCTACTTTTGGGGGGGGGGGCTAGGCAATGGAATTAAGTGACTTGCCCAGGGTCACACAGCTAGTAAGTGTTATGTGTCTGAGACTGGATTTGAACTCAGGTCCTTCTGAATCCAGGGCCAGTGTTCTACCCACTGCACCACCTCATTGCCCCAGGAATACCTACTTTTTGAAGGGCATATGAACTGTGACACCCACCACCATTAGGGATCTTTTTGGTCTGAGAGATGGCCAAATGAGTATCCTTTTATTAGTAACCTATTGTCTTTATTAATAAAATTATTAAATTACCCAGAAAACATGTCTCTTGAACTTTTTAAATCGTCACACAGTGCAGGATAGGAGAGATTCAAAGAGAAGGAGGATAAAAGGAAGTTGAGAAGACAGGGGGATGAAAATGTTAGGGAAGAGCTACCCAGAACTTGTATATGGAACAGGAGAAATAACACCCAATACTATGGAACTCTGAGATTTAAAAATGTTTTCCCCACACTAAGCTCTGAGGTGGGCAAGCATAATTCTCCCCATTTCATGGGTGCAAAAACTGAGGCTCAGAGAGTTGCAGTGCTTAGCCCCACATGTCTGATAAGTGGCATAGCAAGGACTTGACACCAGACCGTCTGATGCCAAGGCTAGTACTCTTTCTGCCACGTCACTAGAAGAAGACCTGAAATTGAGAACAGAGAGAGAGTAAAGGAGGCAAAGCAGCATGGTTCTTCATTGTGCCTCTTTCCAATTTCCTGGCCCGCTGCTGTACTGAGAACTCTTACACTGTATTGTACTCTTTTCCTTGGAATGTGTCCTCTGTCTTGTTGGGGATCAGGTAGTAGAAGGATGACTGGATTGTCTGGGCCTCTTTTCGGTATGGAAGGTAGCCAAATGCTGAAGCAACGTAGTACCACTTGCCAGACTCCTGGAAAGATAATAGGCATTGGGTGTTAATATAGAATCTGGGGTGGGATGGGGTAATGCAAGAAATTACAAGAAAGTTCTTCTTTCTATGCCCTACCCCATGAGATCACTCGAATACTATCCCATTGTGCATCATAAGTGTGAGCTATGATCGTTGCACATGACCCTGGCCATCTTGCTATGGGTAACTGATCACATCTCCTTGACAACCAATTAGGGTGTTTAGAGGCGGGGACCAGGCTATCCACAGTGGCAAGACACATATACTAGACTGCATCCAGTTGTGGCCCAGGATAGAGCAGTGTTGGGATGAGTAACTGCAAAGAGACTACTTCTATCTCTGTCCCATTCTAGACTTTGGAAAGCCCATAAGAAAACTCTCCTAAGCAATCAGGAGAGTTAAAAACACAAGGTCCCCATGGGGGTAGGGCACACAACTCTCCATGTCAATTAAGTCTAGAAAAGTCACATCACAGGCCTAAGGATTCAGTTAACCTTTGGTTGGTTGTCCACTCTCTTCCTTCTGTGGGGCCAGGTGACTTTTCTGCATAGTTCAACATCAGCAGTGAAGAGAAAGAGAGTACTCACCTGGTCTATTATGGTGTCATTGAGGGTTGAAGTCAGATTGACACAGTCTGGCTGCTGACACATGAGCAGAGGTGCAAAGCTCAGGATGAAAAGGACCCAGATGAGTACCATGACTATTGGGGAGGTAGATACCGGAGGCTGGAGCTGAGTCTCAGGGAAATGAGGAACCGAGACAGAGTCTGACTTTATGACTAGTGGGAGGGCATTGACCCCAGTCCTGCTCCGGGCGTGGATGGCCCCTTTATGAAGCAATCAGGTGCATGTCTGGGAAATTGCTTGCTCAAAAAATACCTTCTTTCCCCAGACTGAGCCTTGCATAATATTTAAAAGTCCAGATTTGGCAACTACCCTAATGATGAGTAGTAACAATAATAACAACAATAATTACAATAATGGTGGACAGTGTGTTTGCACTTTAGGGTTTATAAAACACTTTCATGGTACCCTTCACCTAGTAAGTATTTAATAAATGTTTTTTGAATTGAGTTAATATCTGTTACTTCCAATGATATTTATAAAAGCCTTGGAGGGCATAAAAGATCCCAGGTCTATCTCGCTTTAAGGTTTTAAGAACTCTTTCTTCACAATAGCCTATGAGATGGGTTATAAAAGCAATGTACAGTGATACAACTGAGGCTCTGTAAGCATATGGTCAATCAGGGTCAAAGACTAGATTTGAACCCAGGCTTTTCCAGAGTCTAAATCTTTCCACTTTCTAACTCTTTCCACTCTTTCCTTGGGCTAGCAAACTATAACTCAAGGGCCAAATTTGGCATGGTGCCTATTTTTGTGTGGCCCATGAGCTAAAAATAGTTTTCATATTTTAAAATAAAAGTTTTATTTTGCATCTAAAAATATAAATGAAAAAATATAAAAACCATTCTCAGCTCACAAGGGCCTTACAAAAGTAGGCCATGGCTGGATTTGGCTCTCGACCTGTAGTTTGCTGACCCCTGTCAAAGCTTTTCTTGGAACAAACTGAGCCACAGAGAACCATGACATGTGAGAGCTGACAAAGCTAACAAGCCAGTAGCACATTTGGGATTCAAACCTAGGGCCCCTGAGTGTTCTTTGCCTTCCCTCATGGCTGAAGCTGATATTCACTCATGGTTTCTCCCCTTCAAATGTTGAAGAGATGAAAGGTGGGCTGCTGATAATTCTTGGCACAGAGGAGCTTCATAAATAAATAATTGTTAAATTGAACAGACACTCGGGAATTAGCAGCATTTAATAAATAAAGAAGTGCTATTATCAACTTAGTCTTATGATGGTTGTTCAATACTTGAAATATATTTCTGTAGTCTATATGTTCCATATTCTGCAGTAACAATGCACTCTCTACCCATCATCCCATTTCAGCCTCATCTCAGCCCTGTGAGGCAGGTACTATAGGTCTTACTTATCCGTATTTTACAGATCAGAAAACTGAAGAAGATGCAACGTGAACACTTTTCGAATAAATGATAGATTTCAGTCCTGGTCACATCATACATAATGTGGTAAATCTCCTGGTCATGTTTTTTGTCAACTAACAAATATATTTTGTGTCCTTCTTACCTTCTCTCATACCAACAAAAAAAAGGAAAAATTCTGGTAACAAATATGCAGAGCCAATTCAATTCAATAAACATTTATTTAGTACCTACTGTGTGCTAGGCACTGTGCTAAGCACTAGGGATACAAAAAGATGCAAAAGATAGTCCCTGTTTTCAAGGAGCTTATAATCTAATGGGAGGGGACAACGTGCAAACAAAGATATACCAAGCAAGCTATATACAGGATAAATAGGAAATAATTAACAGAAGGAAGGCCTTGGAATTAAGATGGGTCAGAGAAGGTTTCCTATAAGAGGTGGGGTTTTAGTTGGGAGTCAAAGAAAGCCAGGGAAGTCAAGCAAAATAATGTCCGATTTTTTTTAGCCATGTCCAAAAAGATATGCCTCATTTTAGTCAGGAGGACCTGAGTTCAAATATAGCCTCAGAAACTTACTAGCTGTGTGACCCAGGGTAAGTCACTTAACCCTGTTTGCCTCAGATCCTCATCTATTAAATGAGCTGGAGAAGGAAATGACAAACAACTCCAATATCTTTGCCAAGAAAACTCCAAATGGAGTCAGGAAAAGTCAGACACAACTGAAACAGTTCAACAACAGCAACAACACCATGAGTCTATCACTTCTCTGTCAGAAGGTAAATTTCATCAGTGGTCCTCTGGAATCATTGCTGGTCATTAAATTGTTCAGAGTTCTTAAGTCTTGCAAAGTTGTTCATTTTTCAATGTTTTTACTGTGTAAATTGTTTTCCCAGTTCTGTTCACATCATTCTACAGCAGGTATTATCATTTTTTTTTCTTTGAAAAAATTATTTTCCCCAATTACACGTAAAAACAATTTTTTAAACATTCATTGCTTTTTTTTAAGTTTTGAGTTCCAGATTCTATCCCTCTCTCCAACCATCCCCGCTCCCTGAGATGGTAAGCAATCTGATATAGGTTATACATGTGTAATCATGTAAAATATTTCCATATTAGTCATTTTGTGGAAGAAAACTCAAACAAAAAAAGAAAGTGAAAAATAGTATGCTTCAGTCTGTATTCAGATGCCATCAGTGCTTTCTCTAGAGGCAGACAGCATTTTTCATCATGCGTCCTTTGGGATTGTCTTGGATCATTGTATTGCTGAAGATAGCTAAATCATTCACAGTTGTTCCTTGTACAATATTGCTGTTACTGCCTACAGTGTTTTGGTTCTGTTCATTTCACTTTGTATCAGTTCATGTAAGTCTTTCCAGGTTTTTCTGAAATCATCCTGCTCATCATTTCTTATAGAACAATAATATTCCATCACAATCATATACCACAGTTTGTTCAGCCACTACCCAATTGATGCTTCCCACATTTTTCTGAAACTATCCCTTTCATTAATTCTTAAGTATTCTATTACATCCATATGCCATAATTTGTTCAGTCAGCCCCCAATTTATGAGCACTTTGGTTTCTAGCTCCTTGTCACTAAAAGAAAAAAAGAGCTGCTACAAATGTTTTTGTATATATAGGTAATTTGACTCATTCTTTGATCTCTTTAGGGCACTGGTAGCTGAGTAGTAATACTGTCACTAGGTCAAAGAGTATGCATAGTTTAATAACTTTTGGAGATAGTTCCAAATTGCTTTCCAGGATGGCTAGACCAGTTCACAGCTCCGCCAAAAGTCCATTAATGTTATTGTTTTTCTCCAGCTCCTCCATAATTTTTTATTTTCCTTTTTTGTTAACTTTGCCAATGTCATAACAGGGTATGAAATGGAATGTCAGAATTGTTTTAATTTGCATTTTAATAAGTATTAGTTATTTGGAGCATTTTTGTATGGCTTCAGATAGATAGCTTCAATTTTTTCCCCTGAGAACTGCCTATTGACCCTTGACCATATATGAGTTATTAAAAAGACTCATTCTTATAAATTTGAATCAATTTCTCATATATGTGGAAATGATATTTTTGCCATAGAACTTTTCTTCAAAAAAATTTCCCCCAGTCACCTGCTTCCATTTTAATTTTAGTTGATTTGTTTGTGTGTGTAGTGTGTGTGTATAGTGTGTGTATGTGCATGTGTGTGTGTGCAAAAACTTAAAAAACTGTCCATTTTATCTTGTATAATCCTCTCTATACCTTGTTTGGTCATGAACTCTTCCCCATCTATAGATCTTATGGTTAATGTCTTTTTTTGCTCTCCCAATGTGTTTACGATGTTACTCTCTATGTCTAAGTTATGTATCCATTTATATTCATGTTATGTATGCTATATATCCATATTAACTTAGTGTATGGTATAAGGTGTTGGTATATACCTAGTCTGTATCAGATTGCTTCTTCTTAGTCACATGTGATAGTGGCATTATCAATAATAATGGTAATTAAGAATAATAATTATTTTTAGCTATAATGAATAATAGCTCACATTTTTATAGTGCTTTAATGTTCATAATTAACTTTTTTCATAACTACCCTGTAAAACAGATAGAATTGGTAAAGAGAAAAGAACAGGATGAGCTGGCAATAATATTGCACAACACAGTGACTGTTGCTAGCAGATCTGCAGAATAAAAGGAGAATTACGAAACAAGGCTGAGGCTAATGGTCCTGCTAGCTCCACATCCCTGTTTTGTCATTGCCCCATCTTCACTTTCCTGTTGATCGGGAAATGTCGTTTCTATACAATTCTTGTGGAGTTTTGTTAGGTAGAGCTCCAAAAACGGGGTTGGGGATGCTTAGGACACAAACCAATGTTCAGAAATTTAACAGGAGTTAAAAGGAGTGCTCTTAACCTTAAATCAGATAGTTGACTTGGGCCAGGTACTCTGAGTTAGCATTAGGAAGAAAGTATTTGAAAGAATAGATTCTTTATTAGCTTGGAACCTCCTGTTGGCTATTGCTTGTTGCCCTGAAGGAAGTTGTGTTCTTATAGGGCAAGACAAACACTATAGAAGAGTGGATGTATTTTGGTCTTAGAAGTCACAGGGATTAGGGGAGTCATAGGCAACTGATTGGCAAACCATTTCCAGATGTAATGGTAGGAAAGATTTGATTTGATTTCTACTCAGCAAAACAGGAGGTGGAAAGAAGTAGTGGGAGTAGGTTTCATTGGGTTGGGGGGAGGGAAGAAGCAGCAGCAGAAGTGGGAGGGCTTGGTATCAGGAAGACAGCTGTGGTGAAATGTGGTCAAAGTCTAGGGCTGGCTACAAAAAAATGGAAATGTGAATTTGTGTTCATTAAATCACCTGTAAGGACAGCATGGAGGCAGTTGCTCTTCCATGGTCTGGTCTCTGAAAGTTTTGTTTGGTGGGTGCACTAGCAGTGTCAAGGCCCATATGGCAGGAAGGAGGCCAATTTAGTAGCTGCTACCCTTCCCCCTCAGAAAGCAGTAACAAAGATGGCTTCAAGGAGGCTGAAGACCTGGAGATGATAGAGGGGAATCACGCAGCAACCACAGCACCATATAAGGTGCCCAACAGAGACACCGTGGTTGAAAGTGGAGACAGGACACCTAACAAAGCTGTGCTTGACAGACAATACTGAACCGTAAGAGGAGAGAGAGAAATAGAGAGAGAGAGAGAGAGAGAGAGAGAGAGAGAGAGAGAGAGAGAGACCTAGTGCTAGCAGAAGCAGTAGGATAACATCGCCA